TTGTTGGCCAGTAACTATTTGCATGATTAATTCATTTCTAATGTAATTACTATCGAACAATTGAAATGCTCACTAGTAACACAAAATGAATTGCCCTGTTCACCTCTTTAAAACAGAATATTATATCTTGTTTAGTCGGGACATCATATCCTATTTAGCAGGTAATCGTCTGTTGTTTTTAACGAATCTTGCCACGTTATATTTGGCTGTTGAACTTGTCTAGATTTTGCTGTAATTCGAGTGTGTATTTATAATTTATTTGTCCCTGTACCTTTCTCAACAGATAGTACTTATTCCATACCATTTCGCATATATTTCCACTTTAATATACGAAATACGTTGGCAATTTTCGTCTTTTTATACGTTACATCTCAGAAGCCAGTTGCTGAAAAAATTAGTAGAACAGATTTACTTAATTTCCGTGGTGTTGGTTCAGGGGAAGCGTGATATCTCTTCAACAACACGTTAGCTTAACAGGCACGCAACTTTAGTTAACTCCATGTGAGATCAAGACTGGTATTCAATTAATGCGGGCTTCTTACATTGACAATAATCTGGTTCTAGGAAAACACTTCCCAACACTACAGTTTTTCACCTAAGCAGATTATTTGAACTTATCTAAAACCCTGTCTTTCACAATCACTTTTTGTGATTATTATGTGATCAGCAGCCAGTTGGATAGGTGGCTTGAGCACTCCCTAATATAACTGATCGAACAGAGGAAAATAAAGCAAGAATTTCTAAGTGTCCGTGAGCTTTCAAGTATGTGGTTAACGTCATTTATCGCAAAATCGAAAATCCAGTGAATTGTGCTACTAATAATTGCGTTCGTTACAAACAGACAACCTTTAAAACTGAATTCAAAAGTGTTGATGCCCATGTACAGATTGAAACCATGAGTCAGTTGAAGCTCGACCACCATTGAAAACCTGGAAGCATTGTACGGCCGTTTCATCCTAGTATGGGACTCAGTGCGCATCCACGATCCCGCACCACGCGGGACTCGAACCCAGGACCTACTGGCTTCGCGCGCGAGCACTTAACCATTAGACCACTGAGCCAGCATCCAACGGTGTTAATGTCTAACTTTAACCAGTGCTGTCTCAGAGGCAGGGAAACGTACGCACAGACAATTCTTGCAGTATACTAGCTCTTTGGCTCAAAGCATATCTTTTCTCACCACTGTCCTATATTTAAAGGAGATTCAGCTCTCACTTACGGGTTTTACGTTTGAAATTATTGCGACTACAATGTTTCCTAGTTCGCAGAACTGGTAGTCTAGACCAAAAATTGTGGTAAGAGACACAAATATGTGACCAACCACTCATATGGATGGTGGAAACAAAGCCTATGTTGACCTATCAGTTCACAAATCCGCCGTATACTTCGTTATCAAGCAATAAGTACTAATTATATAGCCAATAAAGTCAAGTTCGAAACCAATATCTAATGTCTTTGTTGCAAGCTTTTGGAAAGTATTTGAGTTTACAGGCCCTGAACAGGGAACGGGTTTAGTTAAGCAAATTGTCGCTGAAAAATAGCCTAAAGATTCCAAAGATCAGAGTAGCTGTGATTTTTAAGTTTTTAATAGTGGACTACTATCCGTTCTAGTAAAGGTCTAGCTGCCCGTATGCAGTAATTTGTTTGGATAATTGTCAAAAGAGGATGTCAGCTCAAATAGGGGTTTTAGGTATTTCATATGTATAAAAAATGTTCCGGATCAACCTGATGAAAGGAAAGTGCCAGCAATCTGATTTATAAATATACAGGTCCAACTCTTTGTTTTAATAAGTTATTTCGACTTACTAACGCTAACCAACTAGGCGGGTTCTGTGCGTTTTGGAGGTGTACGCACGTTTGAATTTGTGGTAGTTATGTAGTTGCTTAACACAGTCACTGAATATTTGATTCTTGCTTCCAGTTGTACAAAATCTGCCTAAAGGGGCTTTTTACCATGAGCTTTTTCCTTCGATATTTTAAAAACTAATTGTTCACGGCATTCTACAAGCTTTGTCATGTCTAAAGTTGCTTTTTATATCATAGTTTTATATTGTTCGTATATAATATTCATCGCCATTAAGATGGCTTTTAATAATTGCAAGGCATCGATAGTCATAATTTGTGAATGAAGTATGAAAATCAATTGACATTTAGTTCTTTCTGAGTTTTTCATGTTGTTTAGTTTTTGCATTGTATAACCTCCCGATTATACATGTGCGACATTTTACGTAAAAAGATGCGTAGCGGGAAAGTGGAAATATTCATATTTTTTCGGTGCACTTTTCAACTGTCCCATGTTTCGTATGTGTAACATCGACAATCGATGTGCAAATAATCTGTTAGGTATCTCACGAAAGTCAAAGTAGATTCTTTTATTGATAAGACCTTTGGAAGATTGATCTGTGTTGTAGTTTGATGCATATAGACAATCTCCAAACTACTTGTTGACTTCTATCCTTCGGCCCTGTCAAGTTTACTGGACGGATATTCATTCATTCAAGTTTTTGACTCTAATTGATCAAAATACATGTGCGCCGCTAAATCATATTTGCAATAACATGGATTACCATTCTTTTTTCGTCCTCACTATATAGTTAATAACTCGTTATGAAACTAGAAGCGGCATGATTGCATGTCGTATTTTGTTTCGTAGTCGTCTTCGGTTAAATTCTACCAAGTAGGTAGTCGTTTATCTATAAAATTTGGCTGCCTCAATATGATTTCTGTGTGTCTGCATAACCTTCGGACTAGAAACAACTATTAGCTGCTGTCAAGAGCAAGAAGCTACTGGTTTCCGCAGAATAGCCTATATAAAAAATAATCTTCCGCCACAAGATTGGTCATAAGGTTTATTATTTATTTATTTGAACACATACATATTGGTACAAGAATGCGCCAAATATATATGCGCCACACGAAACAATGAGAATTTAGAGAGAAGGAAAAAGAAAAAAAGTAGGGGGGGGGGTTAAAAAAAGAACAATAAGGAAGAGATTGGTGTAAGGTAGTGCAATAATAATAGTGGTAATAATGGGGGGACAGAAAGGTACAGTCAGAAGAAACCCTTCAGTTAGGAAAGATACAACCATTTTTTAAATGAAGAAAGCAAAAGAAGGTTACAGCAGGATCGCCACTGGCTTCTATACTGAGCCATATCTGATAACGTCTCTAGCCACTGTGTTGCGCTATCTCTCGGACCCCAGCCAGTGAGTCGTGAAGGACCAACACAAGCCATGATCAACGATAAACGATCTACGGTCATAAAGTGGATATGTCTAGCTATCATCTGTCCCTTTTAGTTCAAATCTTTTAGCTAATTGTAGTGAAATACAAAAGTACTTAGTTTTATGTACTCCTGTCCTTAGAAATTCACTGTTGATCGCATGGACAGGAGAATTTGAGTAGGAGTATGTCTGAATAATCTTCATTTCGTGAAGTTTCCATCGTAATGTTGGTAAATTTGTGAAATATCACCAAGTATGTTTCAGATTTCACGTGTTAGTTGTCTTGAAAATGGATCTGAGATGGATTTGAAAGTCCGCTTGCATCATGAAAGATTCTGGAGGTATGCTTATGATTGGTCCTGTCATTGATGAGATCTTTTATTAGTTTTCTTAAAATTAGATTGCTGTTTGTGAGAGGTCGTCTGGAAGTTTTGCTTTGTTTATTCGTTTGATGCACAAAATCTGTTTGTACTAACTTGGTGTCGAACCTGAAGTACATGAAGTGGGATTCAGTCAACTGAATTATCAGATTTCCACTCATTTTTTTAAATCATTGTTATAAGAACTTGGAAATCTTGCGGTTGATTTAACTGTGACCAATCTGTGGAACTAATCTAAATAGTATGAGAAAGTAAAGATCACTCACGAAAACTAAATTCTCAACACAAAATCCCTAGTATGCGGATATCAAGTGACCAAAAAACTGGCTGTTTTTATATGGCGGAATATCACATTTATCTAGAGAATGTCGTACGTATAAGTTTGACTAAACACCACTTGAAACAATTGTATGGCATGGATTTTCTATGTTATAAGAGTCTGATCGACGCCGACTTTTGTCTGAATTTCCTGTTTGGTTTTTCCTTTCCGTTAATTGTACAATTTTTTCCCACATTCTTCCTGTGCCTTGAAATTATTTGGTAATTTGAAACAATAAATTGCGTTGCTTAATATGTCTCCTTACAGATCAAATAACTAATTTTATGAGTCTAACATTCCTAAAAGTTGGTTAATCCAATACTTGTTGATTGAACACTTGTTCATATTATTCGAGTCTCTTAAGTTATAGATGTTACACGTTTATGCTAAGCTAGAAATAGTTGAACATGTGGTTTTTTTCCAGAAAATTCACTAATCAGTTTGGTTCATATTCGATCTAAATGTAATGCTGAATTTTAGGAACCAAGTTCAAGACAAAATTTGGGTGTGTATTAGCACTTTACATTTCGTGATCATATCTTACTTTTTGATGTTTCTGTTGTAAATAATATTACTGTGATTTAGGCGTTTGTGAAGTCGCAAGTTCGAACTCTGCTCCACCTACTTCAATTTGGGCAGCTGGGTGGTATCACTAGCTCTCTTACTTGAGGTGTCTTGTACTCGAGGAGGCAAATCTGTATGGAGTAGAGTCTGTGATAGTGGTAATAAATTAAATCGTGATTGTGAATAATACAATGGTAATAGATTGTTTCAGTGTCTGTATTTTTTTAGTGTAAAGTATTGCTGTCCCACTATTGACCAGTTAATATGCACTAAACTGCTGCATTTCGGTTGCTTTCGTTTCAGCCAGTCTTATGTGTTCGAGATGATGAATGCTCCAAAAATCATGTATCATTGACAGGTTTCGATGCAGATTGTTATTTAATATATCAAGTTTACATTCTTTAAATATTCACTGTTCGTCACCATCAAGCTTATAACTTTTACAATCAATTGAATAATTTGCCGTTTAATATTATGGTTTTTTGGCTGACCACACCATGAAATCTTGTTAAGGAAACAATTCCTGTTGAAGTTCGTCCTTGGAAGGCAAATATCACTGATCCCGTATGTGTAGCTTTTTTTGTATGCTTTCGGTTTATTTCCCTTCATGACTGATTGCTGTTTTTAAATTGAATAGTTTACTTAAGACGACTTGATGTGTATAATGAATTCGCTATTCTAACCACTATAGCTGGGTACGAAGGAAGTTTTATATTTACATCAATTTTTGCATATTCATCAGTAACGTAATCAGCTCTGCTAAACGCTGTTATTGAACATATGTATTTTTCTGTTATAATCAAATAATATAGAAGTTGGTTGTACTAATCACCAGAAATTTGTGTTCCATGTTTTCTTACGGCAGGAGACGGTCATGGTGATTGAGCGGCTAATGAAGAAAATGGTCGTTAATCCTGTACCTAAAAAAGCTTTTAAACCTACCACAGCATTATCTATACCCAGACATCCTATGCTCACATTTGGTGTATCACTTGAAGATGTTATAGAACGCGACAAGACTGAAATTCCGATCGTTATTTCTGATATATTTAACTTCTTATTAGATAAAGGCGGTTTACAATCTGAAGGCATCTTTCGTGTAAATGGTAATTCACGAACAGTTGAGATATTGCGTGCCATTGTCGATGAAAACGGAAGTTATTGGCATTTAGGGGAATTTTCAAGTATAGCTGGAGATTTGGATCGTTCAGTTGACGTTTTCTCGGTTGCTAGTCTTCTTAAGTTGTATCTAAGGGAATTGCCAGAAGGATTAATTCCAGAAAATATCACTGCATTATTTTTGAAAGTAAGTAAATATTATGTGCAGTAACCATGTTTCTTTTTGTATACTAATTATATAAAAATGTGAGCTTTCTTGTTTTACTTATAACTTGGAATATTCTAACCTTATAATTCAATGTTACTTTAAGTCAGGAAGCTGCGATTATTCATAGCCTAAAAAATTGGTGTGTTATACAAGGAATCCTTTATCTTAACTTGTACTTATGACTGCCGAAAATGTATGCATTATGTCTTAAAAAGAAACTTCATAAAGCAATTTTAATTAGTTTGTAACTTTGTCATAATCTGGAGTAAACGTACAACTGCTGGTCTATGTACTTATCACAGGTGCATGTTTTCGTCGTAAAAGAAATGTACTGGAGTGGTTAAGTTTAAGTTAATTTTAATTATCCTCTCAAAATGATGGTTATTGTACTCTGATCCACGTTTCACAGATATTAAGTGTAAAATAATATAATTGCAGTTTTTGTCCAGGATAAACGAATTATTCGGTCAGTTAGTTAAGTCGGATCGAATTGGTTGGAATATGCATTATATTTCTATGGAGCTTCAACTTATTAATTTTATTTCACAAATTTGACTCAATCTATTACTGATGGAGACTTGTCTTTTTCCACCGATATTTCGACAATTATACTAGCAGTTGTGAAATAGATGTAGCCTGCAGTCCAATGTACGCAGGTGAATTTTAGTTTTTTTCTTTAGGTCTTGAGTTTTGAAGTTACCTCATACATTTTATTGCGCGAACTCATTCTTCTCAAATCATAATGTCTATCACTAATTTTTTCTACTACCAGTAGTACCATTACTACTTTACTCTGAAATATTTTTAATTTCATCTTTCTTTGCTGTGGTGTGGTAACTTGAACCGATATGCGTACGTGCCATGTTGTGCATTGAGTATGATTTCGTGATAAATCTGTTCGCCACTACTGAATTTGATTATGAGCTGATTTATTGTTTCAGTGAACAGTTTGGTTTTTTCTCCAAAAATAATATTGCTTACAGAGTTTTCTTTCGCTTTCATCGTCTTTATACATAATTGGTTTCATGTGTTGTCTAACAACGTTAATTATACACATACCAAACATCAGTTTAACGATATAATTATTTGTTTTTCTCCATCGATGTTCTGGTTTCGTAGCAATTTTAGATTTTTATTGTTTGTTTTGTTTGTTTATAATGCATTACATTTTTTATAAACCGAAAAGAGATTATTATTTAATTTATGCATTATTATCATTGAACTCGTTTACTTGGGTACAGATTAGTGCACTTGGCTTTGAACTACGTTGTAGGTGTAAGCTGGCGATACTAACCACTTCTCTAAACCAAACTGGAGAGGGATTCGAATCCGCTGCTTGATTCGTAACAGTGGAATGTTTTAGCCACTGAACCACGACTTCACCCACTGTGTCGTAGCTCAAGTTAATTTTGTTCCCTTAGAGTGAATAATGAAATACCTGATGTATTCAATTACATACATCACACTACGTAATGGTATAGAAAAGAAAAGGAGTCAACTGAAAGTTAAAAGAATCAAGATATGTGTTTCTAAAATTTCCAAATATTTTTGCTTTAGTGTTAATAATAATAATAATTTAACTGACTAATTAATTACTGACGAATGTATTCATCTTTGAATCACCTTTTGTATTTTTTAAGGTTGGTAAAATACTAATACCTGGTTAACTAAATCAAAGTAGTGTCAAACCAATAGATGTTTAAACCATTCTTTAAACACATTTGATTACGCAATAGTATGATACTGATGACATTAACCGTAAAAATGACTCTGTGAAAAGACTAATTTTGATTTTGTTCATTATTATTCTTATTAATCTATTCTAATTTGCCTCGCTTTTAATCCACACGGTAGGGTTATTATAATTACTAATATTATCGAAATGCTCTCACATGGCCACGCGTATACAGCCTCTGTCAGGGAAGTCCTACTCACTGCCTTCTCATGTTGTTCACGAAAATGAGAGGACGAAAAGCGAATGTCCGGCGCTTTAACCGGATTCCAAACCAATGGTGCACATGGGCTCCAGTATCCTGCGGGAACAAATAGCGTATGAACCAGTTGTTGGTCACCGGCTTCCATGGGACTGCATCTCCTTACGATGCATCACTGCCTTGTGGATCAGACCTTCAGGTCGAAGGCTCGGGGTCTGGCCTCCTAAGAAAACCACCTGCTTCGGTTTGGGCACCCGGTCAGTATCACAGCCCTCACACATATCGAATGAGATTTGTGTGGCGCATGTGTATTTGGTGCCTCTTTGTACCAATATCTGTGTTGAAATAAATAATACATATACTTATACACCGACTACCTCTACGATGATAGCTGGTATAGTATTAGGTTGGAAAAAAGCTAAGGAGGGTCAAGCTAATACATGGTATCAGTTCGTGAAGGCTGAACCGTATAGGTGGGTGCAGACTATTTGGTTGTCATGTCAAAATGTTTTCTTTCAACAAAGCAATGTTGTTTACATACTCTAAAATCGGTTATTTTAGTTTTTCTATTAACGTCACTCAATTTTACAAGTAATTGAATGTTTGAATGCATTATAAATCATCAACTGCAAATGGCATATCAGCTAATGTAACTGTTGCATAACTAAATAAATAATATATTTGTAATGCCCCAATGAGTAGAAAATCTAATTTTTGTACTCATTAGGATATTCCAAATATATTATTTATTTATAATAATCTACCCAATGCTCAATTTATTCGAAGTTATCAAATCAAACCTTGGTAATGTTACATAACTGTTCAATATCTCTCTGAAATGTATCAGTATAACTAATTTAGCACATGATCATGTTTTTTTGTCTATACATTTTTCATCTACTACAATCTATTGTTATATAGATTTCGCCTGAGAAAAATGTCATAATTTTAGTTATGTGCTAAGTCTTTGTGTCAGTTTGTGTTCTCTAGTTTAAAGTGTGATAGCCTAACGGTTAAGTATATATAATTTCGAATTGTTGATTTATGGCTCCGAATTCGGATCTAATAAGTTTAATTTAAAGTCTGACAGTCTGGTTAGATCTCACATACAAGTGTAGCTCAAAGGTACTTGTACGTGAGTACGGAATAGGATATTAATACATATTACCTTGCTGTTGTAATCTATTTGTTTGACAGACGTTTTAAAGCGAAGAATTTAGTTACAGACTGTAAAATATTTTTATCTATCACTGTGGAGTAGGTGTATACACTCTTTGTCTTCCCCTATACCGTGAGATTAAAATTACCTTATGCCTACCTTTCTATCAACTAATTCTTTTTTCCTGTATTGTATCATTTTATGCAATCTTTCTTTTATGTATTACTACCATTAAAGTGACTACTTCTGTACGTTTTTTGTGCTAATGAGGTGCGGCAACTTGGACCGATGCATATATGTGCCTGGTTCTACGTTGTAGCTGAATGACTGGGTGATTACTTCACTCTATTTTAAATTTTAGAGTACTTATTAGCAATTGTGTACAAAACTTTATTGAGAAAAACACTAATTATATAAAGTCTTGTCTAAAGAATCTAGCAACACCTAGACAGAATTACCATTGTGATCAGTAATCGTAGATTGTTAATTTCTTCATTTTTTTATACATATCAACGTACAGTAGAATCAGGTTATGTGAAATTTTTCTTTGAAGTGGAGGTCTTCTTTCCAAAATTGACTATCAATTCCTAAATGAATAATAAAAATATAACAAATGATGCATTTTGGCTGTTTTTCAAGACTCCCTGAATTCTCATGTTCACTTTATTGAGTGATAGTACTCTTTCCAATATTGGTTTCAAAAAAATACACAAAGTAAAATTAGCAGTATGTATCAGAAATCTAGATTCAATTCTTCTTGTATAAAAAGTGTTAGTCAACAAGAACAGTTTGTTACAATTTATTAATAAAGGTGAATTTTTATTATCAAACTGTGATAACTTTGCGAACTTGAGAGACAACAACCATGACCAATAATTTTAGAAAATAGTGCAAAAAATCTCACTAAAGAAAATTCAAAAATATCACAAAAGTACGGTTTTCTGTATTCAACCGGCTTACATGATAAGCTACTGCTGAGTTACTCTAGTTTGTTTTTACCTAAGTTATATACAACATGGTGGAACAGTAAGTATTGAACAGAATAATAATCTTCATATAAACACTTGTCAAATACAAAACACATCGTCCTTGACTTCAAGCTGTTATTTTCGTTTGAGGGTTTGTGATAGTATTTGATGCCCGGTGCATGTATGTGCCTCGTCTTACGTTGCGAACCTTCAATATGTTAACTAACTACAGGCTAAGGGGTTTAATCTATATACCAAAACTCCAGAGGAACATTGTAAAATTTCGGCGTTATGTAAATGAAAAAATGTCAGTGTTCTCAGTACACGTTTATAGTTAAGTAAGTACTAGCTTACAGCTTATATCGCAAGTGTAAACACTGAAATGAATCAGTTGGTTATTTTCACCGATATATGTTTTTATTAATCGTAAATTTTAAAACTACTGACTAAAAATCGCTCCTTACTATTTACTAGAATCTATGTGAGAATCGTCAGGTATGTAGTGATTGAATTAACTTATACGCTTTAGTAATAAATCAATTAAATTAAAGGTGTTTTCTATTCTTTCTCATTTGTATTGATCAATCAACGATACCTATTATTGTCATATACTTTGTTTCTTTTTTATCCACCTATACGCGTATTCGTGTTATTTCAGGCCAAATAAGTACAATTTTAATTGTCTACTGTTATGTAGAAATATTACACATATTTATATGGTCTTATGTTTTAGGATTCTGTTACTTAACTGAACATATGCACAAAACTATGTGTACACTGAACTACCAATGTAAACTTTAACTTTGTGAAATATGACAAAATGTTTGAAGAAATGAAATGAATTCATTATCTAAAAAAAGCATTTATGGGTCTTGACTAATAAGTTAGCATATTTCTTTCAGGAATATTTTCTTCATA